ATAGAATTTAGGATAGGTATAGACAACTGGATTGGGTAATAAGACATTTGGGTTAAACCACTTTAAAAGATTGAATCCAATCGATTAGTTAGTTAAACTCAATAGTTTATATACCGATAACTTTTCTATTCAACTTTCCGATGTGGGATAGATTCTAACATTGTTTTTGAATTATACATTTATATGTTGACACTAATGATGTTATAAATCTTATTTTGAGATAAAAATATCAAGATTCTATTTTAGTACTTTCTTTTTGTATTTAGTCACACTTTAGTCTTTGTTTTGAAATTATATCAAGATGGAGAGAGTAATTTGAAATGAAAATAAAAGAATACATATAAATATATACTCCCTCCGTCCCATTTTAAATTGCATGTTTGCCTTTTTTCTCCGTCCCAAAATAAGTTGCCTGTTAGTTGTTTTCGTAAACTTTTAAAAATAAAATACCTAAACTACCTCTAAAATAAGTCACACTTCTTCACATTATCTTCTCATTCATTATCATCCCTCCTAAAAAGTAATGTCAATTTCGGAAAATCAACTCTATTTTTTATTTTCCTTAAATATGCCCAAAAGTCAAAATAGTCGATTTAAATTGGGACGGAGGGAGTAATAGAAATGAATAATAACTGAACACTTTTGAATCCTCGTATAATGTAAAAAAAGTTATTAGAAATAAGAATTGAGAAGTCCTATCTTGGCTTAACTGGTAGAGAGTTTTCTCCCCTAAGGTTTGTGGTGAAGTTTACATCTAGATTTGAACTCGAACGAAGGCATGTATTAGTTCGTTGTACGTTATTAGATTGAAAAAAATATGAATACATACCATATTGTAATAAAATCAATAAGACTAAAAAAGAAACAATAATCGAGGGACAAAGAAATTACTGAACACTGATGGATAGTGCAAGACAAATTATATGGTACATTCGGACGTATCTTTCTCTTGGTACATTATGGCAAACTTGTTATTAAAATAATGTTTCAAAATGAGCACTAGTATACTACGAAGTACATTTTTTCAAAATTAACACTACATTATTTCTCTATAAACACTATGATGAACAAGCTTCAAATAAAGAACTACGATTAAAAATGAATATTCTGATACTTTAAAATAAATATTCACTTAGTGTACATAACTCTCCGTAGAAACGGACATACAACATATAAATTCTATGTCTCGGGCAATTTGGCAGTGTAAAAAACGACTTTCGAGAATACTTATCTCAATTTTTCTTTATGGGGGAATTACTAATTAGGGGTCAAATTTAGGAATTTGTTTTCATTTGAGGGAAACCACCTTGAAAAAGAGCTACTCATTTTAGGATTATATTTTAACTTTTAGGATGTGTTTGATAGTTTGATGAACAAGAAAAATACTTCCTCCTAAAATTAAAATTACATATTAGAAAATTACTCCGTCAAAAGTTCTATTAAATATGAGGTGATAACGATATTTTACTTATCAAATAATTAATGAAATCGCGTAAGTAAACAAAAGTTATCGACATAAGAGAAAAAAATTAAAATAAAATTGGCGACGGATGGAGTATATATTTTGATATCTCCAAATATCATAGTGTTTTTTTGGTATAAAAATCACCTTATGTAGCTGTCTAAGACACTCAATATTACACATATAGCAGTACTCCTTATTGTGTTTTACACATTTGGCTATTTATGGCGTGGATTTCTTCCAATCATACTCTTTTATTATAATGCAGTATTTTAATTATTTCATTAAATTTATATACACGGCTATGTTTGGATTTATTTGTCGATTTTACAAAAGGGAATTTACTTCCAAAAGGGTTAAAGACCCGCTTGGTGAAATTTTTAGATATAATAAGATATGAATTTTGAAATATGGAAGAAATGATATGAAGTTTAAAACCTGAAACGAAGTTGTTTGCAGAGTGTTAAAATCATAATTTAATTAGTGATAGGCAGAAGTAACCAACAATGGCGGTGGTTGGCAGTGGCAATGGAGGCTGGTGGTGGAGAATGATAATCTTGATAGAGATATCAAACCCTCATATTGATATCTCTCAACAATTTGGGAGATATCGAAATAGAAATCGCTCTAAGGGCCTGTTTGGGAATAGCTTTAGCGATTAGCGTTAGCGTTTTCAAAAAGCTATCTACGGGCAGCTTTTAGCGTTAGCGTTTTCAAATTAATCTGCACCGTTAAAATTTTATCCAAAACGCTGATGTTAATCGCTAACGCTATTCCCAAACAGGCCCTAAATAAAACTATAACATAGAGAAAAGTATCAAAATAAGACTTTCATGTTTTTTTCCGAAATGGACTTCACACTCTGGTAATGTGGTTATAATGTGGCATTGTACATGTGCACATTACTATATTTTTTGGTAACGTACATGACCATGTTTGGTAGTGTAAATTCATTTTAAGTCCTATTTCAGGAATAAAAACATGGAAGTTTTATTTTTATATATTTTTAATGTTTTAGTCCTAATTTGGTCTTTCTCCCCTATAGAAACCCTACATTTCGAGGATTATGATATCTAGAGTTATCAAACTTGATATCTCTTTTTCACTTCACTAAATACCAAAAAGGGAGAACTACTGTCATAGCATTAATATATGCTTAAAATACCAAATCATTGTTATTGTCTTATTTAAATGATACTTTTATTTAATTAGAAAAAATGTGTATCATATTGCTTAATCATTATTCCCTTCTCTCTATAGTATGAAAGGAAAATCTTAATAATGAATTATTATTTTTAATTAGGTGACTTTAATGAGAAAATTTAAAAAAATATTTTTTAAAGCACATTAATTTTAGTTTTATATAATAAATAAAAATGAAATTGTTTGAAAAGTATTCTATAATATTAATCATTATGTTTTTATGTTAAATGTCCTCAAATATCTATTGAGGTATATTATTGAAAAATTTACTTCATATAAGACTAAAAGGCAGTACGTTAAACATTAAAATAGATAGGACTAGTCCTATTTAATATATGTGAAATTTGCACTAAATAGGACTAAAACATAAGTCATTTCTTAATGTAGGACTTAAACTTTTTTATTCTTTAAATAGGAGTTAATAATGACTAGTGAGAAGAATAAAGATATACTACAAATATTATTTTACTCCGTAACATTCATCTGTTTAATTATGTCAAAGTTTGACAATTTATTTGTTTCTTTACAAACAATGTCTATAATCACAAAATAATCTCTCATATGACTTTTTTTTGAACACAAATGTACAAATATTTTATCTTTATGTTAGTATAAAAAATTTTAAAAAATAAATATAAAAAATAAAAATAGCATATTTCATTATTGAGTTTTTTCCTTTTGCTTAAATGCAAAATCGTTCAAGTTCGCAAAAGTATTCCGATTCGTAGAAAATGTTTCATCAGAATACAAATTTACTAAACTATTCACCAAGTCAAGTTAAATCTTTTTTCCAATTTATATAATTTATATATTTGATCATTTTAAAAATAATACAGTTGTCTATTGTTTTATAGATATTTGACGTAGGGAATATTTTTTATTTTATATCGATATTTAAGTAAATAGTTTAAAAACTAACTTTATTTATGTTTATCATAAAATATTGAATTTATTTAAAGGTTAAGAGAGTGTCTTATATATTAATTGAAAGTTATAATATAATGAAGTGAAATGTTAGAGTACATCCCACATCGGAAAATCCAAGAGTAAAATAATCGGTATATAAGCTCTAGAGTTGAACTAACTAATCGATTGGATTCAATCTTTTAATGTGGTTCAGCCCAAGTATCTTATTGCTCAATCAAGATCACTACCCCATCTTAAATTCTATCATGAAAAAAAGATTAAATTAGAAAATTAATTTTTTTGTCAGGTTTTTAGATTATAAGAAGTATTTCCTTTTTGATAATATTTCTTTTTAAAAACAAAAGTTATTTTTTTATCCAAGCCATTAATTGGGTATAAGCTTAAGTGTCAAAATCTTCCACATGTTGCGCTCCTAGAGTTAAGAGTCTACTATTTACATATAAAGGATTTCTCGCTGATTATCGACGGGTATATTTTTTCAAATTTATCTCAATGATATAATTTCTACTTTTTAAATTGTTTAAATTTAATCTCCATACTTTTACTTCTTTAAGATTCTAAAAAACTTCACACTTACACTATTCTTATTAACATCAAACAAATAAGATTTTTAATGAGAGAGTTGAGCCATGGAATATATATGACTGCTGAGATCGATAGACTATGGTTGGCATTATATTTTATAATTATACGTTGATTTTGAACGCCATTAATTGGCCTGGCTACACTTATTTTCTCTAGCTTATCGGTGCTTTGGGGTGGGAGGGGAGAGGGCATTGCTGGGTAGGGGCAATGGAGGATTATGAGAGTTGAACTATCAATTTTTTGAATGAAATACCGTAGGTCAGTTGTTATTATATGACAACAATAGTTGAGGTCAAATTATGACAGCAATAGTTGTCATCAAAAGAAGCCCACAAATGATGTTATATATACAACCAGGCCCGCTTTATATACATACTCCCTCCCTTTCTGAGTAATGTCCAGTTTTGACCGTTAAAATTGACAAATTTTGACTACTAACTAATTAATTAATTAAAAATAATACTAGATATACGATTTATTTGTTTTACTTTATATTCTTAAAATAATATTTTAATTGAGTCCCAAATTTTTTAAAGTAGAGGTGTAGAAAGTATTAAATATTTAAAATTAGGAGTAGATGAGCATCTTTTATACATACATACATACATACATACAGACACACACACACACATAGATATATATATATATATATATATATATATATATATATATATATATATATATATATATATATATATATATATATATATATATATATATATATATATATATATATATATACTCCCTCCGTCCCAGAGTATTTGTCCACTTTCATTTTTACACATCCTCCAATACACTTCTTTAATCCATTTTATCTTGTAATTTGTATATTAAAAAATTATAGAAATTATATATTAATAATCTATATGTTAAGACAAATCAAACAAGATCACACATGACTATATTTAGGCTTACACATTGAGAGAATTTGATGAGTCAAAATGCTTAGATGAACAGTTCCAAAAGTCAAAAGTGGACGAATATAGCGGGACGGAGGTAGTATATATATATATATATATATATATATATATATATATATATATATATATATATATATATATATATATATATATATATATATATATATATATATATATATATATATATATAAAAGTATATATGGTAATTAAAGTAAATCTAAGAAAAGGACAAAAGGAGTATATATTTGAGATATAAGATAAGCAGGATCCATGTGGCTGCAAGGAAGGTACCCGGTTGGTGTGATGGGTTTCGCAGGATATTGGCCGGCCGGCCTTATTAGAGTTTGTTAAAGTTACAAAAGATGGTGGCTTCATGCTATATTCAATTCCCCCTCTCATCTAATTAAACAAAACAGTACGGAGGCGAGTGCGGGTGGGAGTGTTCTCCCTGCCCATGCGCCCATGCAATCTTTTTCCACTACACACCTAAAATATGCATTATACATACAGTGAAGCTTCTACGTACCTTGCTTGCTACGGCCCGGTCCGGTCCGGTCCGGAAGACTAGTCGGAGGCTGGCGGAGAACCGGCCTGGCGCTGGCTTGCCGCGGCCAACTCGCCCCTCCCTACCACCACTGAGTAACGATAGATCTCCATCACTATCTGGCCGGGAAGGGTTCATAACCGGCCGGTGGGGCTTCATTTGGCCATGTTTGACCCTATACAACTGTTAGAATATAAATAACTCATCCTGGGCCACAACCACAAGCTTGAGCTTTTGGTTGAGTTGGTTCCTTGACATGGTATCAGAGCCTTGTTGACTAAAGGTCACGGGTTCGAAACTCAGCGCCACCAGTTTTAAGAAAATTAAAGTTTCACGTGCAAGGCTCGAAAAAAAGACTACGCCTGCACGTGAGGGGGCGTGTTAGAATATATATATAAATAACTCATCCTGGGCCACAACCACAAGCTTGAGCTTTTGGTTGAGTTGGTTCCTTGACAACTACTTCAAAATAACCCTTCTATCTGAATCTAAAAGTATTTGTTTAATTTGTCTTTTTTGAATTGAACAAGACATATATTACTCACCAATTATATCCCGTATTAAATTTGTGTTGCATACTAATACTATGAAATGAATTTTGAATAATATAACTCTAAGGAAAATCTAATGAATTTATATTTGAACTAATACACATGGGGTAATACAATAGAATTTTTATTAATTAATGTGATGATCAAAGTTTGAACAACTTAACTCAAAAAGTCATATTAGACAAATAGTTTGGGATGAAGCAAGTAATGTTTTCTTTTATTACTATAGTTCAAAATTTCATTTTTGACTAGTTAAAATGTGAATTCAGGTATATAATTATTTAGCGTTTTGACTAGAAATATGTTAATTTGAAATTGATGATATGATTACCATTTGAAAAATGTAATCTAATAATACTCCCTCTGTACCAAAATGATTTACATTATTACTATTGCGGTATCTTAATAACTTTTGCTTTGTATGATTCATGGATTGTTTGATAAAATAAAATATTTATGTAATATCTTGTTTTATAATTTTTTATGTATTTTTAAATCTATGCTAATTTGTAAGTAAAATTAATTTAAAAGTTATGAAATTTTGAACGTAGCTCCAATAATGTAAACCGGCCATTTTGGGAGGATGGGAGAGTATTAGCATTCAATCTTTATTTTTTGCATATATTCCCTTCGTCTTACAAATGTCATTTTTCGTTATTCCATTTGAAAATTTACAGTTCTTTTCACCTTTTGCTCTATATCACATTAAATCAATATACATCTTCAAATTTAAACTACCCCTTTCTTCCTTATTTTAGTACTATTAATGATACGGACAACGTATCGGATAAGGAAGACTCAGAGCGTCTTCGAGCTCTTGAGAATATGGGACGAGGAAGAAGAAGAAGAATTGAGGCGAAGAGGGAATCGGCGAACCGAGAGGGGAGAAGGAATTAGGGTTTTGATTTGTTTATTGATTGATTTACTCTAAAGGGGTTACATCTCTTTATATGGGGAAGAAGGAAACCCTAACGCTAACCTGACGGTTCAATAAAAGCGACGAGGGAAAGAACCGTAAAGAAACCTCGAAGGAGCTTATAATTTCGATCACCTAATAAAATCTACATTACAATAATAATAATAATAATAATAATAATAATAATAATAATAATAATAATAATAATAATAATAATAATAATAATAATAACAATAATAATAATAATAATACTATTAAATATCCTACTCTACTATCCATAACACTTTATCAATTTTCTACTCGCTATGATTTTCTCTTTGTAAATAGTTTTAGGGGACGGAGGTAGGATTAAGAATATTTTACTCGTCCCAAAATGTTATTACGGAATAGGGTATTGAGTAATCAAAGAACAAACAGAAAACACGACAACAGATTTAACGTGGTTCACCAACGGTGTGTTGGCTAGTCCACGGGGAAGAGGGGGAGCAGTTTTATTTCTGATGGAGAGGCAAAACAGAGTACAACACTTAGGGTTTGTGGTAGCACCCATATAAATAGTGCTTGGCAAAACCCTAACAGGCTTAGGCCCAAAAAACTACAGAATTAAGAGATAGTTAAACAGCCGAATTAGAATGGGGTTCGGACATCTCAGGATTCGGACCTCTCAGGATTCGGATTTCTTGACTTCTCCGGAAAACGGATTTCTCAGACTTCTCCGGTTTTGACTCCTCCAGATTTGGACTTCTCCGGATTCTGACTTTTCCAGACTTGGAGCTGTGATGAGTAGATTCAAGGCATTTTAACAAATCTCCACCTTGACTTGAATTCTCCATACTGATTCTTCAGACGCACTATGGTTGTGCCAGACCTCCCCCTCTTCCTCAGAATTGCCCCGCAGGGCTACTAGCAGCTTCTGATGTTAAGCAAGTCCAAACAATGTCGGAACTTGCTATGTGGAACCGGCTTGGTGAACATATCAGCAGGATTATCAGCAGTGCCCACTTTCTCCACCTTGATTTTCTTCTCATTCCTCAGAAAATGATACCTCACATCAATATGTTTGGTCCTCTCATGATGGACCTGATCCTTGGCTAAACAGATAGCGCTCAGATTATCACAGAATATGATAGCTTGCTCTTGATGCAGACCAAGATCACCAACTAGCCCTTTCAACCAGATTCCCTCTTTAGCAGCTTCTGTCAACGCCATATATTCTGCTTCAGTAGTAGAGAGAGTAACTGCAGTCTGCAAAGTTGCTTTCCAACTAACAACAGAACCACCCAGAGTGAAAACGTAACCAGTCATAGATCTTCTACTGTCAACATCTCCAGCATAATCAGAATCAGAATAGCCGGTCATAGAGCAGTGAGTACCACCTCCATATATGAGACCAACATCAGACGTACCTCTCAGGTAGCGGAAAATCCTTTTCACAGCCTGCCAGTGCTCCTTTCCAGGTTGTCCTATGAACCTGCTGACAACACTAACAGCATGTGCTATGTCTGGTCTAGTGCAGACCATAGCATACATCAGGCTCCCTACTGCATTGGAGTATGGAATTCGGGACATATACTCCAACTCTGCTTCAGATTTTGGTGCATAATCAGATGATATATGGATGTTTGTGGCACTTGGAGTATCAATAGACTTAGCTGAAGACATGCCAAACCTTGACAGAATCTTCTCAATGTAGCTTTTCTGTGATAAGAAAAGC